AGTTCCTCTATGCCATAGGAGATAGTTTTTGAAAGGTTTTGTGGCTGAAAAAGTTATCATCCCTACAATAATGTAAAGTAAAAGCACTCTGAAAGATTTCAGAACTCTGATCTGCCACTTCTTTCTTTTTACACACACACACACACACACACACACACACACACACACACACACACATATATATGTATGTATATGTATATAAACTCCTTTATTTGTTTGGTTTTGGGGGGAGGCAATTGGGGTTAATTGACTTGCCCAGGGTCACACAGCTAGTAAGTATCTGAGGTCATATTTGAACTTGGCCGGTGCTCTATCCACTGTACCACCTAGCTGCCCCAGGACTGCCATTTCTCCAGAAGACATGATGATTGATGAATCATCTTCCCCATCTCTTGGTAGAGAGGAGATGGACTAGAGGTGTTGAATGAAACAAGAACTTTCAGACACACTCAATCAGTGCATTTGTTTTGCTTGACTATGTTTATTTGTTTCAAGGGAATGTTCCTACTGGGGGAAATGGGGTTGAGAATTGTTTGGGGGAAGTATTTCGTAGGGACTGATAGAGATATCAAAAAAAAAAGAAAAGAACAACAAGGAAACACTAATGAATTAAAAATGCACAGAAAAGAGTAGGACGAAGTAGAGAAGGGAATACAGGAAAGCAGGGCTTTTTTGTGGTGATTATGTTACATTTAATAGGGATTTTAAAATTAACCATACCTAATAAAGTTTATGGGTTCATATTTAACCCTCTTTTTCTGTTCCTGGGATGATGTTTGTTGATGCTTGTTAAGTTTATAATATAAAAAGGGAATTCAGATAGTAATAATAAAGCCAATAGCCTATCGTCAATTTGGTTATGAGTCTCTATGAAACAAGCTTGACTGGTTTTTGATCAGCAGACATGGTCCATCACCAGCCCCATTCTGGAAGCTTTACTTTTTACTTCGGTTGGAATTGGTAGAGTTTGCACTCCACAACACTATGAGGCCTTAGAATACAACATTAGTGAAAACATATTAATTTCATTATTAGTTTAAATAAATTATTAGCAATTTTTAATAAATACTGTGAATTTCAAGAAGCACCAGGATCTTCTGGATGGCATATATGAGCAGCATGCCCTTTGGGTTACTCCCTTAATTTTCACTCATACTCACAGGTTCCATCCCTAGACAGTGGCTGCTACTCCTAGGAGTATTTTACAGATAATCCTAAAACTGTAGCTCACAGGCCCCCATGTGTGGGCTTTCCATTAGCAATCAGGTGGTAGATACAATTAGATCAAAGAATAGGCATTTACTTGTTTTTGTTGTTTGTCTGTTTGTCCTTTGTTTTTCAAAAGGACCAATGACATCGTGATGTGATGGGTGATGTGTTGACTTGTGAGTGAATTGGATTTAAGTGAGGCAGAGTTTCGAAAAGTTGTCAACCTCACTCTCCCAGGGTCATTGAAGTCCAGTTGCAAGACAAAAGTCAAGACAACTAGAAATCACCCGGGATGTAGTGGATGACCTTGGCATCACCAATGTCCGACCAAGGTATAAATGCTCCACAGTGCCTGTTTCAGTTGCCTTCATGGAGTTTGGAACAAATTATCTGTCCATTCTGCTGGGAGAAGTTTCACATGCTTGGGGTAGACATTCCCCTAACTCATTGATCTGTTTGAGGTCTTTTCCCTCATTTATCTAAGTGTCATGGTAAGAGCTGAAACTATAAAACATCCCTTCCCCAGAAACCTGGGGCACATACCCACAGTATTAATGAGAAAATTAGGAACAAACTTAAAAGCATAATGTTGGTGAGAAACACAGGTAGGGAACTTATGTGGTCAAGGCTACTTACTCCTCAAATAATGTCAGGCCTTTTTCTCCTTTGGAGTCCTCATAAAGCTACCCCTGGGCTCAGCATCTCTACTAGGCTGTTGTTCAGCTGCGATCTCAGGATCTGGTCTTTTGCTTACCTTGATTCTCTACTGCCAGGGCTAGATTTATCTTGAGACCATAGCCAGCTCTTTTCTTTGCTGCCGGAGCTTGGTTTTTTTGAAGTTGCTTGAATGCTGGCCCCAAGTGAATGATTTTGTATCTGTCTAGACAGTTATATGTTTCTGTTCTCAACTATGACTCAAATTGAAATGACTCTTGAAATGACAGTCTCTTGATAGGACTCTTTAATTTCCCGTGTAGGATATCTCCTATTGGGTCAATAGTTCCACCATCTTTAATCTAAGCCTCTCATAGAATTGGTACTTTTTCCATTGCTGGATTCCAACCTGGATCGACTGGACTGCTGAACTTACTTTTACCAGTCACCTAAGGTCATCTCCAATCATTGTTCATGTTAAGGTCTTGCTCCTCTCTGACTCAAACATAGTGTTCATACTTCATGAATGAGAGGAAAAGGTGTTGTTAGTATGTTATTAATATGTTAATACCTCTTCATTTGTGATTAATTTTATGACCACATCAATTGACCTAGAGATGGTAGGGAAAACAGTCCTTTTTGGTTTTTATGTGATTTTAAAAGGTAAGGAATATTTTATCTTCTGAGAATGTTCAATTACCTTCAAGTGACTCCTTGTCACACGTGAATCAGTTCAATGGCCTTAAATATCTTTCTCCAATTATCTGTCATTTGTTGTCAACCTTTTTAAGTACAGGGATCCCCTTTATATATCAAAAATACTTGTAAACTGTCATATGACAGTAGTTTAGCCACTAATCAATAAAATAATGATGACAAAAAACTAAGGAAAATTGAGTATTAGATTTTGTAAGTTAGATCTATTTTTGTTGGAACTAAATGAAGATCAAAATGATGTTTGGTGTTGTCAACAGGCAATCCCAACTTCATTAAACTTATGTGAAAACCAGATTTATTACCAGGGAAATGAATATGCATATGGAGCCCAAAGCCAAAGCAAAGAGTTCACAGTCTTTACAGAGGTTTGCATATTTATGACAGCAGGACAAAGGAAGCGATACCAGACCGTCCACCTAAAGGGGTGTGACATGGAAGGGGAAAACTGCCTGTAAAGTTGGGAAAAGGACAAAACCCTTCCTGAAAGATTACTCTAATCTTAGGATAGAGGCACTTTGTTAGACTTTTCTTAGCTATGCATAGTAGCTATGACTAAAGAGCTAGCAGCTTGTTCACAGAGGTGCTAGCTATACCCTAGCAAGTTGAGGTTGAAATAGCTTGGGTGGCCCTGAAGAAATTAACAGAGCAATGCCCAACAGAAAGATACTGACAACAGAAAGATCAGCTAAATAAATACTAGGTATTGTTATTAAGGCAAAGACTGTTTAACAATAATAATTACTCACATTTATATAGCACTTTAAAGTTTGCAAAGCTCTTTACCTGTTTAACTCTTTTGATTCTCACAATAAACCTATGATAGGTTATTATCCTTATTTTACAGATGAGGAAACTGAGGCTGGGAGAAGTTAAATGACTTGCTTAGGGACCCAAGGAGGGGTGTCTTTGGCAGGATTTGAACTCATATCTTCCTGACTCCAGGTACTGCCATCTATGTATCCACTGTGTCATCTGGCTACTTGCACTGGGGCGGGGGGAGGGGGGCGGCAAGGATGAAGACAACAGATTAGGGAAGTCTTTTAACCTTTCTCAGTCTGAGAGTCTTCATCAGTAAAATGAGGGGGTTGGCCTAGATTGATGAATTTTTGGAGTGCTGGGTCCAGAGAATGACAAGGCAGAGGTGCCTGGAATGAATTCACACACTCAAGTCTTTTCTTCGTCAAGTGGCAAAAAGTTTATTGCAATGCTTTAGCAAAAGCAGGTAAGGGTCCTTATGGGAACTATAGGAGAGAATGACGATTGTGCTAGGATTTATATGAATAAGGGGCATGGGAAATGAATGCCAGGGAGACTAATTAGGTAATCTAAGGGTCCAGATGTCTTTGGGAGCAACGGATGGGAAAGTATAGGGAGTACACCAGACATTGAGGGAATTGTCAGAGGCATGGACCTTGGAGATCTTCCAGGAGAAAGAATTCTTGGGCCAGCCAGGGACAAAAATCCTTGGGCCAGGCACCACTCTTACTGTTCTGATAAGAAAATGTGTTCTGCAACAATCGAAAATTTTCTCACAGGATAGGGACCTACTGAGAAATTGGGAGGCTTCCAGAGACATGATCTTAGGTCTGGGGCCAGAGCACCCCATCAACTTCATAGGTACCTGCCACCTCTTGATCTATGTTTCTATATTCTCAACGTAAGTATTTCCAAAATAAACATAATTGGGTATGCCAAGATTAAATAAATATAATTATTAATATTCATATAACAACACAATATAATTGGATACGGTAAAATAAATATAATTGTTAATAACATTAATAAAATAATAGCATATTCGGAGTTAAGATAAATATAATAATTATTAATGTTAAAATAATAAACAACTATAATTGGGGATAACGAGATGATTAGGGAGGAGGGAGAGGAATTACTGAGCAGCTGCTGGGATCAGGAAATCTTCACGTAGTAAATGTGCTTTGAAGAACTAGGGTTTCTAAGTGGCAAAAGCAAGGAGGGATTTGGTCAGTCAGTCAACAAGCATTTATTAAACGCTTACAGGCATGGAGGACAGTTGTCCTACAAACACTGCCACACGTTAAAGGATTTCTAAAATAATCTTATACTTGGCTAAAGTAGTAAATATAAAAATACTTTAGCCATATCTGAGTAAAATTGACAAACAACGTTGCCACTTGAAAATAAGACATCAATAACTTGGGGAACAGATGATTATTACATCACAGTCGCGTGGAGGGTAAATTGCGAACTTCAATAACTTGGGGGCCCAAGCTTACCAGCAAACTCAGAGAGCAGCCCAGGTAAGTCAGAAACCACGTGAGCCACAGATGTAAACTACAACTCCCAGCAGGCTCTGGTCGCTTCCGGGTTGCTCTTCCCGCTATGACTTCCTTAATAATACACCCTACCCAGAAGTCCCTGTAGGAGGCGCTTGATTCCATTAGTGTAAGTAACGAAAGGGCTCCGTGAGTCTCAGCCTTCACTGAGGCTGCGCAACTCCCTCCATCCGGGGATTCCACGGAGCTAATTTCGTAAGGGACTAGTACCTTAGCCGGAGCAGTACCGAGCGCTGCACTTCCGGCAGCCGGAAACTCTTGCCATGGCTGCGTCTCCTAAAGCGCGGACGGAGAAAGAGTCCACAACAGCGGAGAAACGATTTCGGAACCAGAAGCGAGGGAACGACGGTAAGGGGATGGTGGCCCGAGCTGGTCTTTAAGTGCTCGCCTGGCGGGGTGAAGTTGGGGATGGCGGGCGAGTGCGGGGGAGCTGAAGACCCTGGTGTTCTCGCGAGAACAATAGCTTGCGCATGCCCCGGAGCGCCCGAGCTAGCGATGGAAGAGCCGCTGTCCGCCTTTCAGGGCTGGTGGCGGGGGGACTGGGCACTGCAGGAGTTCCCCCGGGCTGACATAGCCATAGCCAGGGGATACAGTTCATTTCAGCGGGTGCTTCCAGACAGTGGATAGCATGTTGTTCCAGGAGGCAGTTGGTGGTATAGTGGACAGTGTTGGACTTGAAGGCAAGAAGACCCGAGTTCTGATGCTGCTCGGATAGTTACTAGCTGTGTGACCCTGGGCAAGTCACTTTACCTCTTTTTTGCACTCGTTACCTCATCTGTGAAATAGGTATGATAATAGCACCTACTTCCCAGGGTATTTATCCTGTATGCAACTTGCTTTGTAGGTGTTTATTTGCATGTTGTATCCTCCATTGGATTGTAAGCTCCTTGAGGGCAGGAACAGTCTTTAGCCTCCTTTTTATTTCCATCGCTTAGCACAGTGCCCGGTAATCTGCTGTTCAGTCTGATTTTACGTGACCCCATGGACATTGCCCTTGGGGTTTTCTTGGTAAAGATAATGGAATGGTTTGCCATTTCCTTCTGCAGTGTGGCCCCCTTTTACAAATGAGGAAGTGAGGCAAATAGGGGTTCAGTGACTTGCCGAGGGTCACAGCTATGAAGTGTCTGAGGCCGGATTTGAATTCAGATCTTCCTGACTCTGTTGCACTACCTAGTGCCTGGCACATAATAAGAACTTAATAAGTGTTAATTGATTTGAGGATTAACGAGCTAATAATTGTAAAGTGCTTGGCACAGTACTTGGCATGTAGGTGGTGGTATATAAGTGTTAGCTATTTTTGTTTTTATTATTGCCTTGGGGTTGAATGTTATTATGAACATCACATAAGATGATATATGTAAAGCACTTTGCAAATTCTAAAGCCCTATACATGCCCGTTATTGTTGTTAAGATCAGCAAGCATTTGTCTGCTATGTGCCAGGCAATGTGCTTAGCCCTGGGGATACAAAGAAAGGCAAAAACACAGTTCTCCTCTCCATCCGGCTTACATTAATGAGTGCAAAACCTGGGTTCCAGTCCAGCCTCTGACAGCTTCTAGCTGTGTGACCATTGGCAAGTTGCTTAACCCTTTGAGCTTCAGTAAGCTTTTTAAGACAGTGGGTTGTGAACCAGTCAGTTTCCACGCTGATGAAAGTTGCTTTCTAGGAGTGCTGACAGCAGCACTTCACTATTTAAGGCTTTTGGGTTTTTGCAGTTAAGGGATGTGATGGGAGACATCTCTGTAATCTGGAAGTTTCACGAGATCAGGAGCCATATTTAACCTTTGTATAGATTAGATAAACTTAGTGAATAGAGAATTGGCCTGGCCAGGAAGACCTGAGTTCAGGTCTCGACACATACTAACTGTGTGACCCTGGGCAAATCGTTTAACCTTTTAGTGTTCTACACAACCTTTTGAGACTCAGCTGTAGAGAAGGTCCTAACGTTCCCTATGCCAAGGAAATCACAGGTCCAGTGTTGATAGATTAATTCCTTTAAAGTTAGAAGAGACCTTGGAGGTCATCAATCCAATACTCATTTTACACATGAGGAAATTGAGTACACATGAGGCCAAGTATTTGTGAGGTTACACAAGTTAACAAGTGAGCAGCCCATGGATGGACATATTGCTCTGTACCCAGTAATCAGTCAGTCAAATACAGTGTTAATTTAGTGCCTACTCTGTACCAAACACATTTCTGAGTGCTGAAGTTAGAAAGACAAAAGTGAAAATAATTCCTGCACTCACAGAGTTTACAGTCTAGCCAGGGGAAACAACATGTACATTTGTAGGGTAAGTACAAAAATGATTTCAGAGAGAAGGCACTAGTGGCTGGGGGACATCAGGAAAGGCCTCATGTAGAAGTTGAGCCTTGAAAGAGACTGGCAAGGTGGAAGTGAGGAGGGAGTGTACTCCAGGCATGAGGGACAGCTAGTACAAAGTCATGCAGATGGGAGATGGGGTGCTGTTTGTGGGAAATGGTAAGAAGGTCAATCTGGCTGCAGTGTACTTAGAGTAGAATAATAAGCGATATGGTTCAGAAGGTAAGATGTAGCCAGGTTGTCAAGGGCTTTAAATTCAAGAGATGTTTCCATTTGATCCTGATACTAATAGAGAGCAAACAACATGGTCAGACCTGGCCTTTAGAAAAATAACTTTGCATTTGTATGGCAGATGGATTGGGGGGCGGGGGGGACACCACTGTAGTAGTCCTTGGTGAGAGGTGAGTGAGGGGAGGTGGCTTTGTGAGTGGAGAAAAGAGGGTGGAGGTGTTGTGGAGCTAGGCGTGACAAGATTTGGCAACTCATTGGGTATGTGGAGGAGAGAGTAAATAATTGAAGATGATATCTGAGATACAGACCTGGGTAACTGGAAAGACAGTGTGTACCACATTGGCAGAAGGGTGTGTGGGATTTGGAGTGAAGGACGGTGAATTCACTTTTGCACAGTGAGTTTGAAATGTAAATACTTAATAAATGTTTGTTGGATTCAATTAAAAATATTTATGAATAAATTATTTTATAGGTGTGGATGAATCAGAACTCCTTACCGTTCCTGATGGCTGGAAAGAAGCCCCATTTACAAAGGATGACAACCCCAGAGGACTGTTAGAAGAAAGCAGTTTTGCAACTTTGTTTCCCAAATACAGAGAAGCCTACCTGAAGGAGTGTTGGCCTTTGGTGCAGAAAGCTTTGCATGAACATGTATGGATAGCTCCCAGGTTCCTTTCATGAGGCTGTTGTTCTTGCTTATGACTTTCCTTTGAAATGTTTATAGGTTTCTAAGTTAAGTTTGCTAACATGATAGGTACAATTTGACTTCTTTACTGACCCCAAGCAGCCTAGTGCCAGAAACATGGAAACATTTTGTAGACCAGTGGTCCGTAAGGTAGGATTCAAGGCCTGTATGTATAGATTGAGTATAGAGTGGTAGTATGGATTGCTTCCCTCTTTTCCTGCACAAAGAATGGACTTGTCTCTTAACTCCTCTCACCCATTATGGTCCAGTGACCTCCCTTTCTTCCCCCACACTCCTCCCCCAGAGCAGTTAGAACTTTTGACCGCTGGCACTTGGGGCAGCTACTCCTGCAGAATCCCCACTGCTTCCCAGATATTGGGTGGCTGCCAGAGGTGCCTTTGTGCACGTGGGCTCTTTACTCTGGGGCAGTTGCTAGAAAGACTCCCCCTTTTCAACTTCTTCATTTTGGGTTTTTTTTTTCCATAGGAAAAAGTGAGCAGCACACCTTCAATATGCATAGATGGATTGAGATTGGCATTGCAGATCTTTCTACATTGTCTTTTCCCCAAAACCTGTTCCTCCTCTGAACTTCCTTATTTCTGTTGGAAGCATCACCATTCTTTCATTCATCTAGGTTCTCATCTTTGTTGACCTGTTTCACTGGGTTGCTGGAAAAAACTGTAACAATATTACCGATCCTTAAAAACCCCAAATTTTTAGCCTATTTAAAAGTCTTCCAAATGAATAGAATTTCAGGGTGCTTTAAACTCACTTGTTAAAACCTTTAACAAATCACACCTTCTAATTTGCAAGATTAGCAGATTTGATTTACTATAGAGGGTTTTAAAAATTAATTTTATATAATTGGTGGAAAGGATTAAAAATGAGTAACATGATTTAGTAAGTGCAACCAAAGATGCACTTCTTATTTGTATTTGTGCATCTTTGTGTGGTGTCTTTTTCTCCTGTGATAGACATCAAAACATCAAAATAAATGGAACCTAGAACTAGATCTTTAAATCACCCTGTCGCAAAGTATTAAGCCCAAAATTTTCAAAAATATTGAACCACATTTGTTCCCATAGTTCTCTGTAAAATATTTTAACAATATTTTAGGACAAAAAAAGTATTTTGTACCACTAATAAATAAAATATTATTTTCAAAATATTATTTCATCCTTATCCTTTAATTTTTTTTGTTTCTAAAGTAGCATATTTTATAAATAAATAATTCAATTAACTTATAAGTAAATATACATTGTAGGTATATGCTCAAAATATTTTTACTGATAGGGCACACAATGTAAAAAGTTTGGAGACCATTGCTTTGTTATTGTATTGTTTGGATTCTTGCTGAAGCTTATTACTCAGATATGTTAGCAATCTGTTCCCTGAACTTTTGGTTTGGATGCAAGGATTGGATGCTCCCATCTGGGGCCTATTTGGAGTGGTCCAGTAAGCCATATGTATTTTCAGGTCAAAATTGGGGGCTGACATGGCCCCTTTGACTACAGAAAGATCAACTTTATGAGGAAACGTTTGCCTATCACTGGCATTTCCCAAATTTTATCTCTTGGGGTGTAGAAATTCAGTACTTACGTGGATTTTTTTTGATATGTAGGTATACAGCATTATTATAAATCTTAATTATACCTGCCTCATTGTATTTTTTTTCCTTCTGCATTCAATCTCTTATAGAAGGAGAGTTTAGGAGGGAAAATCTAGTCTGATACCATAATAGATTGTAGAGAAGACAGGGAAGTAGTACAGGAGGAGGAAACTGAACCTTAAGGCAGGGCTTCACAGTGTCATATCTGATAGATGTTTTCCTGACTTCAGACTTACCGTGGTCAACATTCAATAAGTAGAAAAAAAAAACACCTTGTAGAGCCAAATCTGAGTCTGGATTGACAAGAATTTTAATCTTTGCATGATTAATTAAAGGTTAATTGTTTATGGATTTAAAAGAAATGAGAGTTTGAGGCAGTTGGAGCTAATTCTTCCCATATGAAGATCTAACTAATAATTCCCTAATACTGTTTTGTTTTACCATCTCTCCAGCACATAAATGCAACACTGGACCTAATTGAAGGTAGTATGACTGTTTGCACAACTAAGAAGACTTTTGATCCTTATATCATCATCAGGGCCAGGGACTTAATAAAGCTTTTAGCAAGAAGTGTCCCATTTGAACAGGTACGTAACCAGGAAATCCAGAAATTAAAGAAAGATTGATCTCAGTTACATTAGCTATTAGGAAATTACTTCTTTCTGCAGTTATAAACTGCAACACATTCCTTCTGCAATTATAAACTTATTAAAACTAAATTAAGTGGACTAAATTATTTAGTTAATTAAATTAGAAACTGATTTTATTCACATAATAATATTGCAACTGTTGTCGAAGTGACAAAAGGCTGGCTAAGTTTTTTATTCTAAAGTTGAAATTGTTTATAAAAAAAAGATTAACAATAATTATTTTCGTTTAAAGGCAATACGAATTCTTGGGGATGACACTGCCTGTGACATCATCAAGATTGGTTCTTTAGTAAGAAACAAAGAGAGATTTGTAAAAAGAAGACAGCGGCTTATTGGGCCAAAAGGATCTACTCTGAAGGTAGCTTTCAGTAACATAAACTTAAGTATTTTTTTCACTGGTGTTAATTTTTATACACAGTTAATTTTCACACATCTTTTTTCCTGTGTTATAGGCATTGGAACTGTTAACAAACTGTTACATCATGGTTCAGGGTAACACTGTTTCAGCTCTTGGACCATTTAATGGTTTAAAAGACGTAAGTAAAAACTTTTTAAATTTAATTTTTATTTGTCATATATTTTTTCAAAATTAAATTTAATTGTAATTTAACATCTGGTCAGAACATTTTTGTATATTTTCAATGCAAATATCACCCACTGAAAATTGTATTCTTTTTGTGCCTTCTCTGTGTAAATTGGCTCAAATCAATTGATAAATATTTTACTCCATGTAATTTGGGATCCTTTTATTACACATGAAGCCGAATAAATAGCAGCTAACTTTGATAAACCCTTAGAAGTCTATTTTTCTATTTCTCTCTTCATCATCTCTCCATCTCCCATGTAGCACCAGGTTGTCATGTGAAAAAGGGAGTAGTCTTTTCTGTGTATTTCTAGAAGACAGAATCAGGACTAGTTTGTCATTGCATAAGGAGGAAGTCAGAAGGAAGATTTGAGATCAAAAGAAATTTTGATAATTAAATTTGTATAATAATTTTAAGAAAATATTCCTAGATGAGTCAGTTTACTCTCTGCATCTGCCCCACTGTGACTCTGGGGAAATCACTTACTTTTTCTGGTCCTTCCTCATCCTAAAAACTGAAGATGGGGGCCAGTGTCTGAGTTTTCTTCCATTTCTAAAATGTCATCATTTGGTTACCTGGAGGCAGATGGACTGAGGGGAAAAAAAGACTTTAGGAAAACAGGATGGCAGTCTTCCAATGTTTGAAAGACTGATTTGTGAAAGGGTACCATAGAATATCTGAGCTGGACCTTAAAGAACTCTGAGAGCACATACCAGGGCAGGAATTCTGTGTCCCTGACAAGTAGTCTTGTAGCTTCTGCTCCAGCCCTTTAAAGAATGGGCTACCTCTGGTAGCAGCCCCTTCCCATTGTTTAGATGTTTCTATGCGTTTAGCAGAAGTCTGCTTCTCTTTGTAACTCCACATACTGCTTCTGGTTCTGCCTGAGCCAAGCAAAACAAATTTAATCCCTCTTCTGTGTGAAATCCATTCACTCATTTAAAAGGCAACTAATAGATCCTCTGAAGTCTTCTCTTATTCTGGCCCAGCATCCCTAGTTCTTCCAACTGATTAGCCTATAACCTCATACTGGATACTCTTTAGTCTGGCAATTTCCCGTAACTCTGTTGCATAAGATGAGCGTGCAAACATGAAGGAATGAATGAGGGACCAAGCATCACTCAGATCTGAAACAAAGGAGGGTTGAACACGCACTCACAGAGCTTGGTGTAGATATGGAGGGGGGCATAGTTTGAGGGAAGAGGGAATAACCTCAAAGCCAGTTTCCTGATCCTGAAAAGGGGCATAAAGTAAAAGAACAAGAATATCAGGTGTGCCCAGTTGGGGAATGGCTAAACAGACTGTGGTACATAAATGTAAAATTGCAATCAGATACTATTATACCAAAAGAGATGGTTTCACAGAATCCTGGATAGTATGAACTGATAGAGAATGAATTGAGCAGAATCAGAACAGTTTATACAAGGACAACGCTGTGAAGAAAAAACTGTGAAAGACTGAATTTGTCAGTGCAGTGGCCAACCATTTCCTGAAGGACCTATAATGAAGGAATTACTCACCTCCGGATGTGTGGGCGATGGACCCAGAGGACAGAAAAAGACATGCAATCTTGTATGTAGCTGCTGTATGGGTTCATCTTGCTTGACTGTGCTTATTTGTTACAAGGTTTTTTTTTTTGTTTATTTCCCCCCTTTTGGGTTGTTTGTGGGGTTTTTTTGTTTTTTGTTTTTTTTTATGAGGCAATTGGGGTTAAGTGACTTGCCCAGAGTCACACAGCTAGTGAGTGTTATGTGTCTGATGCCGGATTTGAACTCAGATCCTCCTGGCTCCAGGACCGGTGCTCTATCCACTGCACCTCCTAGCTGCCCCTATTTCTCCCCCTTTTGTCTGGGCTTTCAGTTTAGAGCTGGAGACTGAAGTGGGAGGGAGACTTAACAGTAGTGTTGCCAAAGAAAAGAGGGCCGTTGGAAAGTTTTTTTTAAATGCACAGAACAGAACAGGAAGTTCAGAAGAAAGCATAAACAAGCAGAACAGTTTTTAAAATAACGTGTAATTATTATATGCTTTTAAAAATGTTATGAAATGGGGGCAGCTAGGTGGCGCAGTGGATAGAGCACTGGCCCTGAGGTCAAGAGGACCTGAGTTCAAATCCGGCCTCAGACCAAACACTTGACAAGTACTAGCTGTGTGACCTTGGGCAAGTCACTTAACCCCGATTGCCTCACTAAAAAAAATAAAATTAAATTAAATTAATGTTATGAAATGGAGATTCAAAATTTTGTATGCAGTCTTTTTGTGGTCTGCTGTATGTATGGAAATAGATCTTTGGGGGGTATTTAAATTCAGAATTACAATATAAAAGGAATAAAAAGTTTAAAAAGGAACGAATTGGAGAAAAGAGAAACTCAAAACTGGGAGACCAAGTAGGAGGCTATTGGCTAGCAAGATAGAAGAGGTCCTGAACTAAGGTAGTGACCATATGAGTAGAGAGAAGAGGATGGATGATAGGTTGTATTTTCTCCAGTATATGATTTACTTACTGTTGGTCGGGCAAGGTCGGTCATAGAGTGACAACAGTTACGTTGTCGTCCCTCCACCGACTTTTCTACTAACCTGTCACAGCCCCTGCAAAAGTGGAAGAGGACTATACAGGACTAAGAGTTATTTTCTTTGTTTCATGTGTTTCTGTAGCAAAGAATTCATTGTTCATTGGCCAGTCTAAGTTAATGCTTTTTTCCATATTTAACTTGGTTGGTCTTTGGATATCAAACTCAATTTTTAACTGGAATTGTACTTTAGGCTTTTCCAGCTTGGTAGCATGCTGTCCTGTAGCACTGTAATGAGGCACTAGAATTGGATAAAGACCTTTATCCAGATTCTTGATAAAAATAGAATCAAAGATAGTACTTTAACACTTCGCTAAAGATTTCCTACCAAGCTGACATCATTCCATTAGTCATCATTCTTTGCGTCTGTTCATTCAACTGATTCTTACATCCACCTAACTATTCTTTCATGTGACCCACATTTCTCCTCAACAAGGTAATGCTGAGAAATTTTGCCAAAATTCCTGTTGAAATTCAGATATACTTTCGTTCCCTGGCAGTATGAAGACCCAAGGATTGGTTCTGGCATAGAAATTTTAGGGCAGATAACTGTTCAGAAAGAATTTTGTAATAATTCAAGTTATCTAGCAAAGGAATGGCATTACCTTGAAAAAAATAGTGTGTGCTCTTCCCCCCCACCCCCACCCCAGACCCCTCACATGGTCTTTGAAAGTCTTTAAGCAGAGACCTGAAGACTAACTTAAGGTATGTTGTAGAAGAGATTTCATGCATTGGAACATATTAGACAAAATGGACGCTGAGATCGTCATTACCGCTAAGGTTTTCAGTTTCTGTTTGGAGTTTATGACCTATATTGACACAACTAAGCTCCCTTTACCTTGTCACCTTTACATATTCCCACTTCCTCAAAGAAATATCTACCTTATTCACTTTAGCAAATTTACTTGCCACTAATCATTTAAGCCTGGCGATCAGTACCCATATCCCCACCCTCAGTAAAATGTAAGTTCTTTGAGGGCTGGGACTTTAAATTTTTTTTGAGGGGGTGGTATCCCTTTTGCCTAGCACAGTGCTTTTTACAATGAGTACTTAATTAGCATTTGAACTGAGTTACTGAATTTGCACTATACCATAGTCTACCTAATTCATTGTCTGAAATCTGTCATTTCAGTGTTGTTGATTTTTGCCGAACTTGTGTGATTTCTTCAGTATAGAGGGCCACCAATAAGGCATATGCTCAGAATAGAACTTTTCCTTTTTTCAAAACCCTTCCCTCTCCCAGGCTTTGCTATTACCGTTGAGGGCACCACCGTCTTCCTCATTAGTGAGGTTTGCAGCGTCAGTGTCACCCTCTCCTCTTTCTCACTTTCCCCACACGGTCAGTCAGTTGCCAAATATCGTTCTACCTTTACAGCATGTTGTATGTGTCCTCTTCTCTCCGTTCATACCGCTACCTTGGTAGATCAGGACTCCTATCACTTTTCTCTCTCCAGGACTAGAACAGAAGCTTACTTGGTCTCCATGCCTCAAGTCTCCCCTTTTTCCAATCCCTCTTCCATCCATCCAGACACCCAGGTTGGTTTTGTAGGTATCCTCAACCCATTTGCACTCTCCTCATAGGTCCGGTCTGTTGCGGAGTCCAGGATCAAATATAAAATCTTCTGTTTGGCTTTTAAAGCCCTTCATACCTTGGCCTTTTCCTGCCTCACCCTTTACTCCCTTTCATGTACTCTTATGATCCATGACATTGGACTTCTTGGTCTTCTTCCTGTTTTTCACATGTGACACTTCATGTCTTCTCACTAGCTGTTTCTCATTCCTAGAGCGTTCTCCTTCATCTCCACTTCCTGTCTTCCCTGGCCTTAATGATTCAACTCAGATCTTATCTTCTGCAAGAAGCTTTCCTCACTCCCCCTAATGCTAATGTTTTTTCTCTGAGATTACCTCCAATTACACTATATATATATATCTTGTACATACAGAGGTGTTTACATGTTGTCTCCCCTATTAGCATGTGAGCTTCTTGAGGGCAAGGATTGTTTTTGCCTTTCTGGTAAACACTTAGTAAGAATTGTGCTTGTTGACTGATTGACTCCCAGAGCGTTCCAATAAGTTGTACCTTCTCTGTACATTGTAGTCTTAGGGTTGCATGGGCTTATGGCATATTGAGGTGATGTGCCTGAGTTCACTGGCTAGTTTGTGTCAGAGGTGAGACAACAAGATCAGTTTTCTATTCATTATATTACTACCACTCCCTTTTTGAAAATAAGTTAAGATCATTATAATTTCTAGAATGGTTCATCAACAGTGCATCAGTGTGCACTATCTTCCCAAACCACCCCCACCCCCTACTCTACCCCAATATTGACTCTACAACCTTTTGTCATCTTTGCCAATTTGCAGGTGGAAGGTGAAACCTCAAGGTTGTGTTGATGTGCATTTTTCTTATCAGTGATTTCAAGTATGCTTTAATATGATTGTTAGTAGTTTGTGATTCTTTTTTTGGGAACTATTCATCTCTGTTGACCACTTGTCTATTGTGGAACTGCCTTTTACGAGTCACTTTTATAAGTTACAGATTGAAACAATTTTATTAAAAAATGAACTTTTTTCCATTAATTTTAGGTTCGAAAAGTAGTCCTAGACACCATGAAAAATATTCATCCAATCTATAACATCAAAGTGAGTATCAGCATACTTTTTAGCAAAAAATGAAATTGATGAAAGCCTTTGTGTGTAACTGTCTAGTCAATGTGTTTTCCCCCCACTCTGACTCCATACATGAAGATGCGATATTTTAGAGGTTTCTCTTATTTGCAGGTTCACGTGAAACTATAAAATAGAGATATCTACACACGCGTAGGCACATAGAGTATCTTCCTCATCATAGTATTTTTGTAAGGATAACATTTAAAACACAGGCTTTCACATATTGCCATCAGTGGAGGCACAAAGTAGACAAGTGATATTTACAGTATAAGCACAAATATGCAAAGATTTATGATTTGGTCAGTATAGGAATTCCTGGAGTGGAAATTCCATGTATCAGTATAGATTACTTAGGGTATTGGCCAAGACCCATAGAAGTTAAATAACCTGCCCAGGGTTACAGAGCTGGTAAGTGTCAGAGACGGGGTTTTAACCCAGGTCTTCTTGACTACAGGTCTTCAGCATTACATCTGCTATGGAATTTTGACCAGTACACTGCACGCTAGACCAGGACTTCCAAAATCCAAGCTCCCAGCCCTGGGGGAAATTAAAGTACCCTTATTTCTGAAAAGTTTCATTATTTCTGATGTTCCATTAAACACCAATTCACTGTCTCTATGACTCCCTAGACCAATACTCCCTTAGCTGCCATTTCTCCCTGTATGTGCTGTCTTCCCCTATTAGAATATAAGCTCCTCATGGGCAGAGATTGCCTCTTTTTATAAGTGTGTTCCAACACTTAGTGCCATGCTTAATAAATTTTTTTTGTTGATTCATACACATTTAGATAAAGTTCAGTGGAAACATGAATGTAATAAAAGCTCTTTAGGGTTGTAAGGCAGTGTGCCTACATTCTCTCAACGTAATTTTGTGGTCACAGAATTATAGATTCAGAGTTGAAAATGAACTTATATGTATTCTAATCCAACTTCATTTTATAGATAAGAAAGCTGACCCAGAAAGATGGAGTAGCTGCCCTCGGGTCACCTGCAGTAAATAGTGGAGCTGGGATTTGAACCCTAGCCCTCTGACTCCAAATCTGAATCCTCTTACAAGCACCTTGCCTCTAGCGTATGCCATTGCCAATAATGTAGTGAATTACTGTTTAATGGTAGTTTATAAAGACTATTGAGTACTGGCTACTCTTAGGAATTTTGCATTGAGGTATGTGATACTAAAAATCTGATCATTAGAGGGGTGAGTGGGGGTGGAGTATTTTGTACAAAAAGAAAGTTTGGTGACTTCTACTGGCTGTTCTTATTATTCCCAGTATCTGTAATGGGATGAAGTAACTGGATTGATTGATTGATTGTTTCAGCTGCAACTGAGAAGCCCCTGGCCTTTTATTCCATTCCCTAGAACGTGTCTGGTACTGAAAGTTGTCTGCTTATAAGGAATATGGGGCTGATTTAAATCCTTTCCTTCTTCTTGATTTCATTATTTTAGTTTTTGATGTAATAAATGCAAAGCAAGAAGAGAGTTCATCTCCATATGAATTCCTTTCACCATTCCTTGCCATCCACAGTTTTCTGATAATTTGGTTATTTCTTGTATGTTGGAAAAATATTTTTCCTTTCATTTTTTAAAATCAACACTTTTTTTTAATGTGTCTAATTTTGTTACTAGGATGCCTTCCTTTTATAGCTCTTTTGAGAAGTGTGTGCTTTTGTAATTTTTATGTTTTTCATGTATTGCCATGATTGAAGACTTTGATGATTAAACGAGAGCTCTCAAAGGACACTGAATTAAGATCACAAAATTGGGAAAGATTTTTGCCACAGTTCAAACACAAAAATCTGAGTAAACGCAAGGAGCCAAAGAAAAAAGCTGTTAAGAAAGAGTATACACCATTCCCACCTCCACAGCCAGAAAGTCGGGTGAGTTCATTTCTTAGCTTTTGTAAGGAGGAGGAAAAAAAAAGGCAACTTGTTGGACTTTAGTTCTAAAGCCTTCGTTGAGATATTTTGGACAAACAACTTTACAAAGTGCTTTGCAAATAGCAAATACTTAATAAATCTTTATTGAATAAATTACTTATTAATTTTTTGGCTTGACAAAAGGATAAAAGTGATAGCAGAGCTTGCCAAGCTGTCTGGGTGGCTGAGAACAGTTTCTGACTTTGAATTCCTAAGTGTAAACTCCGTTAAGGTGATTGGTCTCACTAGGTGAGCAGTGGACGTCCCTGCTTGGGTGACCACATCACCTTCTGCTTGTTTTTATTTCATGACTTCTCTCCTCTCTTCCGTCTTTTTCATTCTCATGCCCTTATTCCCACGAGCCTTGTTGTACTCACTTCGTAACTGGTTTCTCTCCAGATTAAGGTTCTTAAAACATTGAATTTCTCCTATGACGTGTCTGCTCAGAAGCCTTCTCTGGCTCCTTGTTAACAACAGGATCAACTCCCAACTCCTTACCCTGGCATTCAAGGCCTTTCCCAGTCTAGTCCTTGCCTACCTTCTCGGCTCTGCCACCCACTTCTCAGCTACATCAACTCCTTGCTATAGCAGGACTGTTCTCCCAGCCTTGCCAGCTCCCTTTACACTTTTTCACTTGTGTCTGCAGTGTCCTCCATTTCTCATTCTCTGTCTGCCGAAGCCTCATATACTTCATTGCCTGTCCCAGAAGGCGGTTTCTGTGCTTATTCTAGCTGAAAGTAATGTCGATATCTGTAAACTTCTGTAACCTTACTGTCTGTAGTCATATACTGCCACGTATCACAGTTACTTATTATGTCTTCTGTCCTCCTGGAGGACCTAGTCTGGATAGAAAGTATGTGTTGGTAAAGAATTTGTTTTATAAATGGTTATGACTTTGACCTATCTCTGAGTCTTTAACTTGCAAAAAATTACTGATCCTCTTTCTGTACAAACTGCCTCTTTCCTGATGTTGTAGATTTAAGACGTCACCGTGAACTACAGCTTCAGTCCAAAAATGCACCCCAAACTGATTTTACTTATTTTACATCGTCATCTAAATTGTGAACTTTCCAAATTGAAATATATATAAATTTTTTTAACAGATTGATAAAGAATTGGCTAGTGGTGAATACTTCTTGAAAGAAAGTCAGAAGAAACAACAGAGAATGGAACAAATAAAGGTAAGCCTCTGTGTATTTAGTCTTATATATTAAAAGGAGAGTCACTAAATGTGACACTTAACTCTGTTTCTTTTAACAATGTTTATTGAAGTGACAAGGCTACTTTTCTATATATTCAAAATGTAGGCTAAACAAGCTGAAGCAGTCAGTAGAAGACAAGCGGAAAGAAACAAAGCTTTTATCCCACCAAAAGAAAAACCAGTTGTGAAACCTAAGAAAGGTAATGTAGTCATTGGGTGTTGTTTTTACACTTTTGATACAAAGGTAAACTCTGATAACTCTCCCAGGGAGCCTGCCTTCTCACATTTATCATTAAATATGATGGACTACGTGTGACTCTGAGTACTTTATCATTTATGATTGATTAGATTTCTTTGTGTATAATTTGGGGTATCATAAAATTGATTGTGGTCAGCCCTGGTTTGACCCAAACCTGTGCCTTTGAAAGAATCCTCACTATACAACACACAAACTGGAACAGCAGGGCTCTAGTTAAAAGAGATGGGCAGGAAGCTGCCTCTGAACCCGACTCGTACAAATTGTCAAAGAAGCAGAGTATGGTAGATTTTCTTTTTTTCCTGTCCCCCCCTTCCTCCTGCCTTCCCTGCCTTCCTTCAAGATTTGGCATAAATTCTTTAAGAGGCCTTTTCCAGTTTTCTTCAGTTTTTAGTCTCTTCCCTCTGAGAACACCTCCCATTTATACTGGATATATTTCATATGTACATAGTTATTCAAATGGTATCTCCCCCATTAATATTAAATTAAGGACCCTGTCTTCACTCTTTTTTAATATCCCCATGCTTAGCACAGTATCAGGCACATTGTAAGGGCTTAATAAATACATGTGGATCGACTGAATAATTTGTTTTTTTATCTTTTAATGGTTTGTCCAGAATTTCTTCCCCACCTTCCCGTCCTCCCTACCCCCACACTGTGGCCACAAAAGAGGCTATCTGAATGGTGGTAGCAGGAATTTCCTCTTGTTTTCTCTTTGGTCTCTTATTGTCATTTCTAATGCTTTCTGATATCCTTTGGCTCCTCCCTTTTATGACCTCTGGTACTTTTTTCTCTTATTCCTTGATAAAGGAATAGAAAATGTACATTCTGATTTCATTGGTATTCCTCTTTTGGTATCTTTTTTTCTCTCTGCTATAATTTGGATGTCAGAGATTTAAAAACAGTAGACCAATGACATAAATTGGTAGTTTAAAAAAAAAGCCCTCTTAGGTTGTTGTTACTTGCTGTGGGAGTAACAACTTTGAAAATTCTCTCCATATAGATCATTGGTCTTTTAATCAGTTGTTTGGTTTAATTCCTGCCCAATTTAACCCTCTTCAGATCTGTGTTGTTGCAAATTGGCTATTTTAGCAAAGTAGCTTGTTCAGCTCTTAAATCTCTTGCTGCTTTCTTCTTACCTAGAAGTGACTTTATTCAGTAGGATTTTTTTGTGTATGTTTGGATTTTTTTTCTACTTACTCTTTCACTGCTCTGAAATTTCTACTTTGGGTTTAAATTTTTATTATTTTGTTTTTGTTTTTGTTTTGCCACTCTGGAATTTCATTAAATGAAACATTGGGCTGAAATAATTGGACTATTGGGCTGCTGTCTGGAAGCCTTGCTTTATAGAAGGTTGAGGGGTTTTTTTGTTTTGTTTTCAGTTGAAATGGAATTTGACCAGGATCATCCTTGCTTAGCTGCTTGGTAATTGAGGAAACTTGAAGGGCTGGTTCTTTATAACCTTCATTCATGGTCCACCAAAGAATGCATTGCATTTTTCATTAATTTGTCATTTAACAAAACTTTGTAATTAGAATTTCTTAAAGAAACTGATCATTGTGAGCCTGGAAAGGAGAAGACAATTGGGAAGTGTCATGGTTGCCTTCAAACAGTGAGAGGGCTGTCTACTAGAAAAGAGAGTGTAGATCTTCTGTTTCTGGAGGAAGTTGCTGAGACCATTTGAAGTAAAGAGAAAGATTTCAGCTCAGTATAAAAAAGAACAACTCACAGTTAAAACAGTCTCACAAGGGAATGAGTTTTCTCCATCACTGGAAAGGTTCAAACCATCAGGATCAGCACAAAGAAGGGCTTTTTATTTCCTCTAATTGTGAGAGTCTTGTAATTTTAAAATTTATTTAAGATCCAGGTAGTACTTCTAAATCCTGGGAAATTTTAATGAATATTGGAGGGAGAGTATATCTTCATCTCAATTCCTCTACTGGAGAAGCTCTTAGGAATGTACTTCTTCCCACGATGCACACTGACACTTTCTCTGCTACTTCTTTACTCTAACTGTTGTCTTGGGGCACTGAGAGGTTAAGTGTTTTGCCCAATGTTCCTTCCACAGCTCCCCCTACCCTCCTGCTACAGAATGTTTCAGAGGCAGGATTTGAACTGAGGTCCTCCTAATTCCAAGACAAACTTTTTGGTCTGCTGGGCTACTCTGATCCTTTAATTCACTGGGACAAATACAAAAGCTGGATTCTTAAGGATGTTTAGAGGGGAATATAAAGGCCTTATCTCTAACAGTTGATTCTAATAATTGATTTAGAAACTCAGAAGGGAACATGTGCCTTTCAGTAATGAAAAATTGTGCTTCTCTTACTCTGGGAATCTTAGAGGAAAGGGAATTGAAGTGGTCACAGGGACCTTCATCTTTCCAGGAGACCTCTTAGAAGGACTGTTGTAGCAGAACTATGCAATGAAATGGGTATGAAGGGCAGCCCTTAGGAAGAACACTGAGCTGAGGTTCCTAACATCAGGATTACAGTCCTGGTTCTGGCTCTTCGTAGCTCAGTGACCTTGCACAGGCCACTTAACTTCCCCAGCCTTAGTGTCCTGGTGAGAATGATTTCTTTCTTTTTTTTTTTTGTTTTTTAAATATTTAGGCAGTTGGGGTTAAGTGACCTGCCCAGAGTCACACAGCTAGTAAGTGTCAAGTGTTTGGTCTGAGGCGAGATTTGAACTCAGGTCCTCCTGACTTCAGGGCCGGTGTTCTATCCACTGTGCCACCTAGCTGCCCCTGAGAATGACTTCTAATACTCTGTGTTGGCTAATCAGTGAGATAGGCTTTGTAAAGTATAGTAGAAATGTGAGGTGTGGTGCTAATTATTAGAGCTCCACAGAGTAACTGACTCATTATTTCTATTCATGCAGCTTCTACTGAAACAAAAATTGATATAGCTGCTCTCAAAGAAAAAGTGAAGAAGGCAAAGAAAAAGAAACTGGGAGCCCTTACAACTGAGGAAGTAAAGCTGAAGATGGAAGCCGATGAAAAGAGACAGAAGAAGAAGAAAAAGTGAGAAGCAAAAAAGGAACTTGAGTTAGAAGAGGATTTGTGTATCTTTCCTTTTGTAAAGGATTTTTAGGCCCTGACTTTTGTTTCCTCATCTGAAAAGCAAGGCTGTGCAACGGGACCCACTTCTGATAATTTAAATGAATCTTGTTTCACAGAACAAGACTTTCTCTAGATGCAGGCTGTTGTTATCATTTACATATTTGCTAACAAAATAAATTATGAACTAAAAAAAGAAGGGCATGTGTTTAACTTACATAGATTAAGGCAGTTTTACTCCAAGAAGGTTCAGATGGAAATGAGGTTCCATTCAGTTTTATGTCAGGTAAACCAAAAACATCTGACATGTGCTGACCTGTTTTGCCATCAGACTTACCTTGTAAAAGTAAATTAATTTGTTGTTACTTGTTTTTCCTAAAAACATATCTTGTACTATTGCTTAGCTTCAGTGGAAGATATGTTACACTTTCTGTGTATCAAAAATTCTTCTATTTTCCTTACCACAAAATATTATTAGTGCATTTTTGACGTAACCGGAGTAAATCATATTTTAAATTTACTGTTTGTTCTGCTTAATTTCTTTGTTGACATAATTGCTCTCTCTTTACTCTTGCTTAGGTACATTTTATAACCCAACCAGAGATAAGGGAAACCCTTTTTGTCTTAACTATTTCCCTAGCTTTCTAGCTAAGATTTGAAACTGAAAAATTGAAACCTAAAAGAGAGAAAAAGGTTGTTTGGAAAGGTAATGTTTTTCAGCCACAGAAAACTGGGGAGTGAAGATGAGTTAAGTTTGGGACAATAGAGGTCTTCTGATTGAATACTCTTATTTAATTTTTTTTTCAATGAACAAGTATTTGTTTTCTTGTCGCTTCCCACCACACATATTCCCGTTGAGGAGGCAGGGTTTCCAACAAATCGCATAGACAAGCAAAACAATAGCGATGTCTAAAAATGTGCATCTCATTTTGTGTCTTTAGTCCATTACATCTCTGTCAGGAGTTGGGTAGCCTTCCTCATCATCAGTCCTCTGGAGTCTTGGTTGATCATTACATTTATGAGAATTCTTAAAAGTCTCTCAAAGCCACTTGTCTTTATCATACTGTTAATTGCATGAATTATGTTACCTGCTTCTGCTCATTTCACTCTTTGTCAGTTCCTACTGGTTTCTCTGAACCTGTCTCTTTCATCATTTCTTTTTTTTAATAGTATTTTTTTCCCCTCAATTACATGTAAAGATACTTTTCAATATTTGTTTTTTATAAAATTTTGAGTTCCAAAAATTTTCTCTTTCCCTCCCTCCCAACCCTGCTCCCCAATACGGTAATCAATTTGATATAGGTTATATGTGTGCAATCACGTAAACATATTTCCACATTAATCATGTTGTAATCAGAACAAAAGGGAAAAACCACAACGAAAGTGAAAATAGTATGCTTCCATCTGCATTCAGACTCCATGGTTCTTTCTCTGAATGTGGATAGCATTTTCCATCATGAGTCTTGTGGAGTTGTCTTGGATCATTTTATTGCTGAGAAGAGCTAAACTGATCATAGCTGATCATCGCACAATGTTGCTGTCACTGAGTACAATGTTCTGGTTCTGCTCACTTCACTCAGCATCAGTTCATGTAAGTCATTGTAGGTTTTTCTGAAACCTACTTGCTCATCATTTCTTATAGCACAATAGTATTTCATTACATTCATATACCACAACTTGTTCAGCCATTCCCCAATTGATGGACATCTCCTCAATTTCCAATTCTTTGCCACCACAGAAAGAGCTGCTATAAATATTTTTGTATATGTAGATCCTTTTTCCTTTTTATTATCTCTCTGGGGGACAGACCTAGTAGTGGTATTGCTTGATCAAAGGATATGCACAGTTTGATTGCTCTTTGGGCATAGTTCCAAATTGCTCTCCAGAATGGTTGGATCAGTTCACAACTCCACCACCAATGCATTCATGTTCCAATTTTCCTATATCTTCTCCAACATTTATCATTTTCCTGTTTTGTCATGTTAGCCAATCTGATAGGTGTTTTGCACCATTTTGATTTGCTTTGATTGATTGATTTGATTTGATTGATTGATTTCTCTAATCAATAATAATTTAGAGCATTTTTTCATGAGTATAGATAGTTTTAATTTGTTCCTCTGAAAACTCTGTTCATATCCTTTAACCATTTATCAGCTGGAGAATGACTTGTATTCTTATAAATTTGCCTTAGTTCTCTATATATTTTAGAAATCAGGCCTTTATCAGAGACACTGGTTTTCTGCTTCCCTCCTAATCGTGGTTTCAATGGCATTGACTTTTCATTTTGGGATCTCTTTCAGGAGGTGATCGGTGGATCTTTTCAATGACTCTTTTACCCTCTGGTTGATAATTTCTTGAAAGATGCTGTCCAGACTCTTTTCTTGATCATGGCTTCCAGGTAGTCCAGTAATTCTTAAATTATCTCTTCTGGATCTATATTCCAGGTCAGTTGCTTTTTCCAAGGAAGTATTTTATATTTTCTTCTATTTTTTCATTCTTTTGATTTTGTTTGACTGATTCTTGATGTCTCATAGAATCATTAGCTTCTTCTTGCCCAATTCTAATTTTTAAGAAATTAGAATTTTCTTCCGTTAGCTTTTGTGCTTTTCCATTTGGCCAATTCTGCTTTTAAGGGAATTGTTTTCTTTGGTGGATTTCTTTTTTCCTATTTGGCCAATTCTGTTTTTTTAAGGAGTTGTTTTCTTAAGTCAGTTTTTGTGCTTTCTTTTCCCAGCTGTTGATTCTTTTTTCATAATTCTCCTGCATAACTCTCATTTCTTTTCCCAATTTTTCTTCTACCTCTCTTAACTTGATTTTTAAAATCCTTTTTGAGCTCTTCCAGAGGACTTTTTGGGTTTGAGACCAATTCATATTCTCCTTTGAGGCCTCCCATGTAGGCATTTTAACATTGTTGTCTTTTTCTGAATTTGTGTTTGAATCTTTCCTGTCACCGTCATAGCTTTCTATGGTCAGGGCTCTTTTTTTCTTTTTTGCTCATTTTTAAAACTTGAGCTCTGACCCAAGTTTCTTGCACTGGGGGCCAGGGGCCTGGTCACTGGCTTTCTACGCTGGGGGCCTCTGGGGATGATGGCTTGCCCACTGTACTGTGGTATCCCAGCCTTGTCATGCCTGTTGTGCCCTGGGTTCTGGGGCTGGCAGTTTGCCTTCTGTGCTGGGGATGGAGGGCTTACAGTTGGCCTGCTGTACCACTGGCCTGCTGAGCCAGGACCACAGGACCTTAGGTGCTGATCTGTGCTGTGTCTTAAGAGCCTCCCTGCTGGCTTGTCCGAATACCACCTGTAGTGGGCTCAGCTCCCCTTTTACCCAAGTGAGATGGACCTTTCCTGAAGTCCTTCTAAGTTATCTTGGGTTGGGAAATTGTTTCACTTCATCTTTTTGTGAACTCTTTCACACCATAATTCTTTTAGAGGCTTAATTTAACATTTCCAAGGGAAACTGGGGAGAGCTCAGGTTACTTCCTGGCTTCTCTCCACCATCTTGACTCCCCACCCCACACCCTTCCTTCATCATTTCTTATCACAGAGTTGTATTGCATTACATTCAAGAGTGTGCTGGAGACAGCTTTGAACTGCTCCCAAGAGCTCGTCATTTACAACTCAGAAATTAGCAAATGCTACAAATCAGGGCTTGATTTATTGTTTTGTTGCTTATCCAGACTTAAGGTGATAAAGTGTTAACAATACAGATTAAATTTAAAAGTATGTCATGCACAGCTTTTTTTTTTCCTAAAGAGCCAGTTGTTAAACATTTACCAACACACTAATATATCATAATTTGTTCTACCATTCCCCAGTTGGAAGATACCGCCTTTATTTTTAGTTCTTTGCCACTACAAAAAGAACTGCTATAAATATTTTTATACATAGGAGTCCTTTTCTTTTTTCATTGCTCTCTTGGGTACAGGCCTAGCAATGGCTTAGCTGGGTCAAAGGGTTTACCTAGTTTCATCGCTTTCTGGGCCTTGTTCCAAATCACTTTTCAAATCTAAGTCACTGTACCATCAATACTTCATCAATGTTCTTGTTTTCCAGAAGTCCCTGCAAGAGTTACCATTTTTCTTTTTTGTCAACTTTGCCAGTCTGATGAGTGTGAGGTGAAACCTCACTGTTGTTTAAATTTTAATTTCTCTGATTAATGATTTGGAACATTTTTTATATGGCTATTGATAGTTTGAGTTTTTACTTTTTAAAACTGCCTGTTTATATCTTTTTATCTTTTATTAATTAGGGAATGACTCTTAGTGCTCTTAAAACCACGGTTTAAGAAGTGCTGAAGGGGTCACGAGTGGAAAAAGTTTAAGAAGTCCTGGACTCTTATATATTTGAAACATCCGTACATACATACACATACACATGAAATGAGACTCTTACTAGAGTAGCTTCCTGCAAAGATATTTTCCCAGTGAAATGTTTCCCTTCTAATCATAGCTTCATTGGTTTTGTTTGTGCAAGAACTTTCTTCCTTGTTCCTCCAATTTGTTTGTGGATGTGCCCATTTCTAGCTGAGTCTTGTATCCATTTGGAGTTCTTCAACCTTCTCAATTTTTTTTGACAGATGAAGAAACAGGCCCAAAAAGGTTAGGCACAGTATCACCCAGTAATAAGAAATAGATCTGGGATTCAAACTCAGGTTCTGTAACTCCCAAGTTAAAGCATTCTTCTCAGTCTCCAACACTGGTTTCATTCCTCCTGATGAAAATGGTCTGTGTGGCTTCCTAATTGCAAGACACCGAATTCCCAAGCATCAGACAGAAAACATTTCAAAGGACAGACAGCAAAATGTAGTGGAAAGAACCTCACTAGGAAGCCAGAGACCAAGATTCTGGTTGCAGCTCTTGAGAGACCTTGGAAAGGTAACTGATTATTGATAATCACATTTATAGAGAGATTTAAGGTTTGCAAAGTCACCTTATACTCTGCGTGTCCATTTTCTCAACTGTAAAATAAAATTGAGTGAGACTATGTAGTTTCTAAATCCCCAAGTCTAACTTTTTTTTTTCACTCTTGCACTTCAAATTGATTATTATAAAGGATGTGGCAAAGGTGAGCAACAGATATTTCAAAAAGAAACCAAAGATCTCAAATACAATACATATTTTTTAAATAAATCTTAGTTCAAATATATTTATTATCAGTTGTTGATGTTTAATTATAAAAGGCATGGTAAATAGAACATCTGATTAACAGTCAGCAAACATTTATTAAGTGCCTCCCTTGTGCCAGGCTCTATGCTAACCGTGGGGTATACAGAAATAGGTAAAAGACAGTCCCTGCCCTCAAGGAGCTTATAATCTATTGGAAAATAATCCTAATGAGAGCCTTCCATTATATGGTACCCAGTGCATGA